AACCAATATTTGATTACAGATGTACGTTTCAAGGCCACTTCATCTCAGCTAAGCAACAGCCGTCTTTGACAAGTCTGTGCGATTGTGGGATGCGGTTAATGTAATTGTCTCTACACCCTCTCTTTTATAATCTTTTGTAATTCTTGCATTACAAGCCGCGCATCTGCTGTTCACAATTCTGGTAACCTAAAATTTGCAATGTATGAAGTTTGTATTTATTTATCATTACCACCACAAACACTATTGGGCTTATTTTTGCAGCCAATGTTATTGTTTTAATCGTACCCGGGCACCCTAAATCCATGTTATATCCTGGAATTCCATCCCAAAGAAGAACGATTTTTCTGTTTTTGCGATAGTAAACAAGAAATTCGCTATTGGAATATCAATCCATTCACGTTGCGCTCGTGTTTCTCTAAGGTTGGATTTTGTAAACCTTCCTCTTTTGTTTTTTTCACAATGTCTCCAAATTTCTACTGAAGTTGCCTGTATTATCCTTGAGTTTGATTATCTGTTTACTTGGTGTAGCAAGGAGGCAGAGACTCAACGTGAGATTTCAGCCATAAGTGGACATGTACTTGCATGCAGATCACAAGATAAGTGGTGTCCATCTTTGATGTCGAAACTGAATAGACAATAACTCACGCATTCCCAGGTTTGTATTTGTCTTCTATTATTCCAATTGATGATTATGTTCTGATATTGAGGTTATTGAATCATTCATGTGGCGTATTGAGATTATGTATCATTCATGTGGCATCGGTACCTTTGGAATCAGGGGCACTCTGGCAGTGGTAAACTACCTGTGCTTGGGAATCTGAAACGGAGCTATTTGGCATCTGTCAGCGAGGAATCCGTGAAGTTGGTCGTTAACCTCACAAGGAGTGCATTCATGAGCTTAGCTCCAACGGGAAGTCCAGATTCCATTCTTGTGTTTTTCATCCAAGTATATTCAGCTCTCTTGGTGATTGGTGGGATGCGGGTACATCGTTCATTCTTGTTTAATTTTCATATGACACGTGATTAACAATTTCTTTAGTAAAATTGCATTGAATAATATAAAATTTTGTTAAATTCCTCTTCCTTTTCCTACAATTTTAGTATCTTAGGATTCAACAGATTTGTAAGAGTTGTAATGTTCTTTACTGTGCTATTGAACATACATGTTTTCCTTCTTATTTAGTAATGCACCCTTTGAAGGGATTGTTCTGTTTTTTAACTCAACGACTCTTTGTTTCAAACACTGATGATTGAGTTATGCTTATTAGTTTTCTGATTTTTATCCATTGGCAGTCTTTGGAGCTCTGGAAACATGGCCAGAATAAGAGCATGACAATCTAAGGTCACGCACATATATTGCAAGCTTTAGCAGAGTCACCTGTTACAGGAATGGTTGCCTCTGCAAGTCTTGAAGCTCCGTGAAGTTCTCGGAATAAGTTTAAAACTACACTTATTGGAGTGCCGGCCTTATTCCACCGATATAGAACCTGGGAAAAGACTCAGCAGGGTGTTGCGACTGTTGGATGTAAGTTGTGATGCATTATTGTAAGAAATTGTGGTGTTGTTTCTTGTAATTTAAGAACACGTTTCAAATTAAGGGCCTTTTTATTTGTTTAAAGCTGGTGAGAATCTAAACACAGGAGCAGACAGATATATATTGTTTGGTGGGAAGCTGAGGGAGAAGAGTGTATATATGTTCTTCAATATTTAATTGTTCTGTGATAAAAATGCCCCATGGTGGTTATAGAAAGCACAGTCCATCTCTTGTAAACACTTGGTGGTTGGACTTTATTGACGATTCTCATGGTCTTTAATTCAAGGCACAATTAGCACAATGCCCAGATTAAAAATGGTGTAGAGAATGGAAAAAATTTTATATACAAATCTCATCACATTTGTGAATGAAAATTTTTATTTAAACAATTGTATTTGTGCAGTATTTGCCGAAATGCTTATACTTATGTTTGGTTGGGAGATTTGAAGAGGGATTTGAAAAAGAAAAGGAAAAAAGTGTGTGAAACTATGTGAAATGTAAGTATATTTTATTTATATTTTCATCTTTTTTTTTCTTTTTTTTTTTTTCAAATTTCTTTCTAAATTTTCAAACAAACACAGCGTAAGAGAATTCCCACTGGCAATGTTTACAAGAGTGATTGGCTAGCTCAAATAATATTCTTCTTCGAGCATCTCCAATGCACTAGGCATATAATATTTGTTAGTTAAATGCCTAGTGTGATTCACTTTTTTCAATTCCAATGCACTAGGCATATGATTAGGCCATTTTGCCTCAACTCATATTCACTAGCCTACATGTAGCTAGCCTTCAACGCTAGGCAAAATGTATTCATTCATTAGGATCAATTTCCCTCCATCTTGTTGTTGACGTAGCATTCTATAAAATTAATAGTATTTGGATAAATAGCTAAAATAAAGAGCATGGTTGGAGTAAAAAACATAAACAAGTTGATAGGCAAAATAAAATATATATTTTATAGTAATATTCAGATAGGTAAATGCACTACACCGTTGGAGATGCTCACTAAAGCTTGGCAATATGCTTATTTTGCCTTCTTAAAAGCACCACAAAAATAGAGTCTCTCTCTCAATGTAAAAACCCAACAAAATGAAGTCTCTCTCTTCAAAAATATAGCCCACATGTGACTCGTGTGAAGAATCCAGACTTGGCGGAGTTATTTTTAAGTAAAATTTTATCTCAAACTTTTATTTTTCCTCGTTATTTTATCGCGTAAGAGCATCTCCAACAGTGATTTTAAATTTTTCACAAAAAATCTGAGTAAAAATGACCTATTTTTTCAAATTTGATAACCACTCGCTCCAACGGTTCACCTTTACCAAATCTATCCCGGGACAATCGGGTGGTCGACCGCCAGTTGACCGGTTAGGCACAAAATTTTTTTTTTTTTTTTTTCTGCAAATTGTCTGAACTTTTTTTGAACTTTCTGAACTTTTTCGGACAACCAGGGTGGTCGACCGGACCGGTTGACCGGTTAGGCAACAAAATTTTTTTTTTTTTTTTTTTAACGGTTTGAAGATTTTTTCCTGAACTGTTTGAATTTTTTACTGGTTGACCGGTTTTTTGGCCACGTAGGTAGAGCTCAATTTAGAGCTCTACGTTTAGAGCTCTCTATCACCACTGCAATATTAAATACATCTTAACCGTTGTTAGCATTAGCCTTTTATGTAATGGTAGAGTTATAAATTTAAAAATTTCAAAATGATAATGAAAAATTTCATTCTCTTTTTAATTGGTTTAAAAAATGAGCAAAACTAGTATAATTTTAATTCAAGTTGTGAAAATGTTTTTGAATGATTTTTATTTAAACTTAAATTAATTTGAGTAAAAAATTGGAGATGACCTTACTATTCATTATATCGTTAAGATCCTCTAGAGTGATTTCCTAGAGTGATCTCCTACAGTGGTGAAAGAATATGCGACACGTGTCCCATTCAGCCACCAAGGGTTGAGATTTAAAATCACCAAAATGACAGAGAGAAGAGGGAAGATAAAGAGAGAAAATAGAGGAGCAAGAGATAGAGAGAGAAAGAAGAGGGAAGATGAAGAACATATTATTGATTTGTTGAAACTATAAGATGTATGCTATTCTATTCAGCTGCTATCACTAAACCATTTTGTTTGTGTGTGTCTATCTATATATTGTTTGAAAATAATAATAATAATAATAAGTGTGGTTATTATCTATTTGGTTTGGTTAAAATATGTATATATATATATGTATTTAGGCTCTTATTTATTCTTTTACTTTTGTCATTATTTATCTTATATATAATAGTTAGTGATTGATTTTTTTGTATAATATAAAGTCATTAATTATTAAAATAAAATGTAAAAAACTCAGTTTATAGTGATTTAAAAATATAAAATATATTGGATCATACTTAAAAATTTACAAAAATTGATCAATATTTATTTTTAACCCAATAAATATGATCATGGAAAAGAAATATGCGTATCGGTAAGTTTTTTTCAAATTGTGCAAAAAATAAAAAAATTCACAGTTCCGGTTACCGCAACCGTTGCGCTACGGCCTTTACACCCCGCAACCGCAACCGCAACCGCAACCGCGCCACCGCCACCGTTACGGCGACCGCAACCGCTTTTCAGAACCTTGGCCAAGGTTTTAAAAAGCGGCTGCAACCGTTACGTAACGGCGTTACGTAACGGTTTTGACGGTTACCGCCACCCGTTACGGCCGCTTTTGCAATGTGATTGAGATTCACAGGTGTGTTGGCCGTAACGGCCTGTTATGCACCGTTACGTAACGGTTCCAAACTGTTTCTTTCGAAAAAACATGCAAAAAAAAGCTGAAAATGGGGGAAGAGGGATAGAGAGAAGATGGAAGATAAAGAGAGAAAATTGAGGAACAAGAGATAGAGAGAGAGAAGAGGGAAGATGAAGAACATGTTATTGATTTGTTGAAACTGTAAGACCTATACTATTCTATTCAACTGCTATCACTAAACTATTTTGTTTGTGTGTGTTTATCTATATATTGTTTGAAAATAATAATAATAAATGTGATCATTATCTATTTGGCTTGGTTAAAATATGTATATATATATATTTAGGCTCTTATTTATTCTCTTATTTTTGTCATTGTTTATCTTATATATAATAGTTAGTGATTGATTTTTTTGTATAATATAAAGTCATTAATTATTAAAATAAAATGTAAAAAACTCAGTTTATAGTGATTTAAAAATATAAAATATATTGGATCATACTTAAAAATTTACAAAAATTGATCAATATTTATTTTTAACCCAATAAATATGATCATGGAAAAAAAATGTGTATTGGTAAGTGTTTTTTTCAAATTGTTGAAAAAATAAAAAAATTTACGGTTCCGGTTACCGCAATCGTTACACTACGGCCTTTACACCCCGCAACCGCAACCGCGTCACTGCCACCGTTACGGCGACCGCAACCGCTTTTCAGAACCTTGCACGTAACTAACGATATTGATATAGATCTTAAAGGAGAATATCCTTTGTCACAATGCCAAATTTATGCATGTCATATATCACTAAAGTGAACCATTGTGTCCAGCCTGGCAACTGTAGTCTTCAGGTATTATATTTATTTTTTGATGTATGTATTTTACCTTCTTGTCATGTCCAGCACTAGCTAGCAACTTCCCATCTGAAGAAAAATGACAGCAGGTAACTTTATTCCTTGTCCTTATACAACCAACTTCACCAAAGGAAAAACCTGAAATGGAGAATTTGACCATTTCTTAGTACCATTCAAACAGTTAGGTCAAACATAGCGCACACAAAATATAACAATTGATTACCCTTAGAAGACTCTGTTTTATGCTCAGTAAGACCTGGTTTTAAGGTGCCATACAGATCTCTTCCCTCTTCTCCATCATGCGACAGAAATGAATCCATCTTATCATCCAGAGAAACGACATCTCCAAAATGTTCTATGTCTTCCTGCACTAATAATCAATGTTTAGCTTCATGTTACTCAGAAACTTCATCCATGAGACAGATTTATTAAATACAGACTTCACACTAAACAAAATTTTCTCAATGTTACAACTATGTTTTTCTTAGTTGAGAAACGGTACATCTTGAGAAGAATGCACAAAATCAACAGATCAAAATATACCATGGATATTAGACATCCAAGGAGAAAACAAATTACAGTTCATCATGCATATGATGCTAGTTTGAGAAAAAAGCACTATGTATATGTGAAAACTTAAACGGGCATACCAACTGATTCGTAGACGACGCAAGACCTCCTGCTCCGTCTGATCCATACATCATCAAGCTTTTTGACACACTGAAGTTGAGCCTAACAATGAAATTGTTATTTGTTCTCCAACAAAAAGAACATGTCATTTTTTCTATTTTTCTATCAACCAAACTTCTTAATTCAAATGAAGGCGGCAGTTGTACAATTTAAAATAAAAATAAAAAAAAAATTAGTGAGACTATCTTTGTTTGGAATAGGTAGACCTGGGGTGAGCGCAGTGCGGATTGGTGCAGTTTAGGAGAAGAATAAAAATCATGGCGGGTGACAGATTGATAAAAATGCCATTAGAATTTGCATTTCTCTTACAAAAAAACTGGGGATTCGGTTGACAAATAATGACGGATTTGCCTTCACTGTTTATAAAAAAATATAATTCAAATTATAAAACTTGAATTAAATAATAAAAGATCTAATCAACCAAACTTCTTAATTCAAATGACGGCGGCAGTTGTACAATTTAAAATAAACAAAAAAAAAATTAGTGAGACTATCTTTGTTTGGAATAGGTAGACCTGGGGTGTGCGCAGTGCGGATTGGTGTTTAGGAGAAGAATAAAAATCATGGCGGGTGACATATTGATAAAAATGCCATTAGAATTTGCATTTTTCTTACAAAAAACTGGGGATTCGGTTGACAAATAATGACGGATTTGCTTTCACTGTTTATAAAAAAATATAATTCAAATTATAAAACTTGAATTAAATAATAAAAGATCTAATTTATAAATTAACTGACATAATCAAAATTATAATATTCATCTAATATAACATTAAATATTAACAAACTAGTAGTCTAAAAACCCAACAATCCAAACAAATTATACAATATCAATTTAATGATGCTATATATAAATATCAATAGCATTATTAAATATCAATGATGTTATTTATATATATATACATATATATGTATGTATATAGAGCAGAGGGAGAACAGAATAGAAAGAGAGAGAGAGAGAGATCAACCAAAGAAAATAAAAAAGCAGAGAGAGAGAGAGAGATCAGCGAGAGAGAGAACAGAGCAGAGAGACAGTAGCGAGAGAGCAGAGAGTGAGCAGCGAGGGAGAGAATAGAGCAGAGAGAGAGAGGGGAAAAAAAACCACGTACCGACGCGACGAGTCGATGACGACGAGGAGTAGGCAGCGACGATCGGCAAGGGAAGGAGACAGCGGCGGCGGCGGTGAGGAGAGGCTAACAGCGGCGGTGACAGCCGATCGGCAAGGTAATGAAGAGGAATGAGACCAGCTGTTGTGAGCGGCGATGAATCGATATGAATGAGCTGAAATTGGGGGTCAATTAGGTTTGTGTGTGTGAGTATATGGGCTCTTTTGGAAACAATGGTTAAAAGCCAAAAAGTTGGCTTTTTAGCTTTTTTAGCAAAAAAGTCAATTTTTTTACCCAAAACAATTCAATTTTTTGCCAAAAAAGTTACTAAAAAAGTCAAAAAGTCAAAAAATCAGCTTTTTACCAACTTCCCAAAACAACCCTATGTATAATACTAGTGAGGGGACTGCGGGCAAAGGACGCTTGCTGATGCCCATTCATGGAAGGGGATAATAATATAATTTTGTTAATGGCATATATTAAAAAAATTTAAAAATTAAAGTGTTATTATTATATTTAAGTTATATTATTTCAGTATTACATTATTTTAAATCTAATTTATATTTTATAAAAAGTTAAAAAGTGTATTTATTTAGGACATTTCAAATAATTCTTAAATTTGGTTTTTTGAATAAATGAATGAACCATAGATGGAAAAAAATGAAATGGAATTAAATAAAAAATATTATGGACTACTAAATGTGACAACAAATGAGGGACATCTTGCGTTCATGTTATTTATTTGTCTAAATTTGCAAATATGGGAGGAAGACAAGGAGTTAGCATGCTCGTGATCTGTAAAAGCAATCAACACATATCATATTTTTTTGATTTTGAGAATAGTACTATAAAAATTAAGTCCAAGCTATTCATGTAGGAAGAGGATGAGAGTTGTAGCAGTAAGTGGGTTAGTACCCATTATAAGTGATATTGAATAATTTACTTGCATAAACAGTAAGATATGTTACAAAAGTAATATTGAGTTATATCTAGCACATTGTAGTTCCAAACAGGTAACAACAAAAATATGTTACAAACCAAACCACTTAAGCTATACCAAACCAAAAATATGTCATAGTGTAGTAACTTGTTACAAAAATATTATAGTGCAGAGTGTTCTTTCTAGAGAGATTTTGTAGAGGGTACACTTGTTGCATCAGAAATATCAGAAGCAGAATTTGTACCAACAGCAGTAGTTAAAATATTAGAAGCAACATTTGTACCAATAGTTGATGGAAACAATTATTTCTTTGTTTTGGATTCTATTTGGACAGATTGTTGATGTGGTTTTGAAGCAAGAGTTATGATGGAGGGTTTTGCAACATTATTGTTCACTGATGTGACGACATGTTGAAGCATTACTTGTCCACGGAACTGATATTGGCGAGGCTTTAGTTGAATAATGTGATATTCTGGCACATTTAATTTTGGAAAGGCTTCATTTGAAACTTTTCCATCCTGCATAATATATGTAGAATATTTTAAAAATTAGGAATGAAAATAGTGAATTTGAAGATGAAGCATGTTAATTTATTTTACCTGCGTTGTATGCTTCATTAGGTCAATTGATTAAATTGAAAATAACTTTTCTGCATGATCCTGGAATATTGTTGCTATTATTGAACCTGAATTATCTTTGAGCCTCCATTTGGGAAATGGGTTAGGTTGTTGGTTTTTTGGTTTTTTTTTGCTATTTTAGCCTGGGGCTAAAAAGCCTGGTTTGGGAAAGGTTTTTTGACTTTTTGGTGAGGTGTCTTCCTGTTAAATTACCAAACTTCCCTTTTTGGCTTTTTTTAATTTTTTTATTTTGGGTTTGGATTTGGCATATTTTGTTTATATTTTTTTTTATTTTCTGTTTGGATTTGGCGTATTTTGCTTAAATTTTTTTATTTGGATTTGGATTTGGCGTATTTTGCTTACATTTTTTTTTTGTTTTTTTTTTGGGTTTGGATTTGGCGTATTTTGCTTAAAATTTTTTTTATTTTTTTATTTTTTTATTTTGGATTTGAATTTAGATTTGGCGTATTTTGCTTAAATTTTTTTTTTGTTTTTATTTATTTATTTTGGGTTTGGATTTGGCGGATTTTGCTTAAATTTTTTTATTTTTTATTTTTTTATTTTGGGTTTGGATTTGGCGTATTTTGCTTAAATTTTTGTTATTTTTTATTTTTTTATTTTGGGTTTGGATTTGGCGTATTTTGCTTACATTTTGTTTTGTTTTTTGTTTTTTTATTTTGGGTTTGGATTTGGCGTATTTTGCTTACATTTTTTTTTGTTTTTTTTTTTATTTTGGGTTTGGATTTGGCGTATTTTGCTTAATTTTTTTTATTTTTTATTTTGGGTTTGGATTTGGCGTATTTTGCTTAAATTTTTTTTAAAATTTTTTAATTTTGGGTTTGGATTTGGCGTATTTTGCTTAATTTTTTTTTTAATTTATGTTTTTGTCTTTTTTTTTTATACATTAATTAGTTATTGTTCTTTAATTTACGTTTTTTGCCTTCTTTATTTTTATTGGTATACAATAATTTTTTTATTTATTTATGTGTTTCATTTATTTGTAAATTACGTGGGGAATGGTAATTTATGTTTTCATGTTTTTTTTAAAATGTTTTTGAATGAGGCGTATTTTTGTCGCTATTTTTTTTAAATTTGCGATTTTGTCATTTTTTTGTTCACTCACATTAATTTGTTTTTATATTACAAAAATGGATTTTTATGTGTTTTATTTATTTGTAAATGACGTGGCAAATGCTTTTCCCTTTTTTTTTTTTAATTTATGTTTTTGTCTTTTTTTTTATACATTAATTAGTTATTGTTCTTTAATTTACGTTTTTTGCCTTCTTTATTTTTATTGGTATACAATAATTTTTTTATTTATTTATGTGTTTCATTTATTTGTAAATTACGTGGGGAATGGTAATTTATGTTTTCATGTTTTTTTTTAAATGTTTTTGAATGAGGCGTATTTTTGTCGCTATTTTTTTTAAATTTGCGATTTTGTCATTTTTTTGTTCACTCACATTAATTTATTTTTATATTACAAAAATGGATTTTTATGTGTTTTATTTATTTGTAAATGACATGGCAAATGCTTTTCCCTTTTTTTTTTGGATGAGGCCTATGTTTGTCATTCTTCTTTTTTAAATTTACGTTTCTGTAATTTTTTTAATTTGTATACATTAATTTGTTTTTATATTTGACAAATGGATTTTCATGTGTTTTATTTAATTGTAAATTACGTGGCAAATGCTAATTTCGGTTGGTTTTTTTGTTTGGAAAAACGTTTTTTTATGTCATTTATTTAAATGATATGGAAAATCATATATTGCCGTGGCACATGACAAAAAATGATGGTCTGTTTTGATTTTTTTGTTGTTTTCAACTTGTGTTTTTATTTTTGAATTGACGTCGCACATGATAATATCTGTATTAGTTGTTGTTTTTTTTTTTTTTTTTTTTTTTTAATTTTTCTTATTTGTTTCACCTTGTTTTCTTTTTCGAAAATGCTTTTTTATGTGGTTTTTGGTTTTCCAAAATTAGGCACGTCAGCAACAGAAAAGGGGTATATTCCCGTGTAAACATATTCTACTGATACATGATTATATATTTGAATACAGTCTGTTCCACATGTGTTGCCAATGTTACAACCCTACGAAAATTAGGTCGACTATTATATATTTCCTAACATTCCGTTATTACGCATGTAACATAATTTGTCGCGTATGCAAAGGCGCACCAATGCCATATGCGGGTCCTCATCCCCAACTATTAAACCATCATGGTCATGTTCAACTTCTGGTATGGCATTTACTATTGTCATAGCCTCTTCCTCGTCACAGATTGGGTGAACAGTTGTTGGATTACCTGTGTTTCGCCGTATATAATTATGTAATGCCGTTGACGCACCTACTAACTGAACTTGCACATTTGCAAAGTCACACTGAGGCATGTCTCGAATAAACCCCCATCGATTTTTCCAGGCACCGAAAGTGCGTTCCACCACACTTCGTAAGGACGAGTGAACTTTGGTAAATAATTCCCTTGGCGTGTTTGCAGTCGTGTTCTGTGGAATACGTCAGAATTCTCGTTGGTGATAACGGTAGCCTTTGAATAGTGCTAAGTAACCTATCCGGTTTGGATAGCCAGAATCGACAAGATAATATTTGCCTACAGACAGGACAACAATATATGACACCAAAACCGAACATTGTGCTTTATTTTCAAGTAACGCTGTTTTAGAAAAAATTATAGCCCCATAAATCCAATTCAAAGTAGGGTGTTACCTTCGTCGGGAAGTGGGAATGGGACATTGTCATTTGCAATCAACTGCAGGAAAACTCAGACTGAGTCACTATCCCATGAGGCCTTGTGGCTGAACTGATGTGTCTATTCAAGACTGCTTGACTTGTCAGTGACAATGCCTTTGCTTTTCGATTGGGTACGCAAACAAGTATATATGGAAACCATTACTAATGTACGATTACAGAAGATTACCATCACAAATTCGATTGTTATATACAAACGCATAAGCCATTACACATTAATAACAAGAAACAGAGTTGCAATCAACTGCAGGAAAACTCAGACTGAGTCACTATCCCATGAGGCCTTGTGGCTGAACTGATGTGTCTATTCAAGACTGCTTGACTTGTCAGTGACAATGCCTTTGCTTTTCGATTGGGTACGCAAACAAGTATATATGGAAACCATTACTAATGTACGGTTACAGAAGATTACCATCACAAATTCGATTGTTATATACAAACGCATAAGCCATTACACATCAATAACAAGAAACAGAGAGATATGATTCTAAATTAGGGAGCATATAACCATTGCACAGTAATAACATACGTACACAAGTTCCATGGAACTAAGTAGTGGACATTTTTTTATGATAGTCATTAATACGTCGACCGTTTCGTACTAACAAAGGCAAAGGCAGCTTAAAGTCATACTAGAACATACTACCAACATACTAACAACGTCCTAACGTGTTTGTACATACTGACAACATCCTAACGTTTCTTACATACGGAACAACAAAATGACAACGACAATGCATAGCACATACACAATGGTCTTAAGGACACGCAAGGATTGTTGAATGTCTATGACATCAGCCCGCAATTGCATGACAAGTTCGTCTCTGGGTGACGCATAGTCTTGGTTCTCTCACCTTGGTTC